TGTATAATTGTTATTATCTAAAGTATCATTAATAAAATAATCATTAAATGCATTTGCTATCTCAATTGGTTGTGTAACATAGCTATTATCTACTTTTATTTTAGTGATGGGTTCCTTCGGACTACTGTTTTTGGTTTTATTTATTATTTGCCAAGAGGCTTTAGATTTACTTTCAGAGTTCTTTATGTGCTGAACATTCTGTGCTCGTTGTGTCAGTGAAATTATTTTTCTTAATCTATACGTATATCCTTTCAAGGCTGCTTTAGCATCAGGACTTTTATTCAACCTACATTGCCATAAGAGTTCTCTCTTTTTTTTACAACATAATTTGATTCCTCTAGTAAGCCATTTGGGTCTAACTTTAATAGTTTTTTTTATAGTTTTAATCGGAAAGCATAAATCATATAAACATTTAAAAATGTCAAAAAATGAATCGTAAGCTGTATCAACGTTGTCAGTTAAAAGTACATCATTAAAAGTCAGGTTTGCTATGCAATTATTAAAATTATTTAGGTTTATTTTACTGTAATCTCGACGTTTAAATTTCCACGAATTTAGAGTGTATGTTTTCTTCACGGGACACATTAATATTTGAGCTGAATGATCAGACAGAGCTAGTTCAACTACCTCTGCCTTAGCGCCTTTAATATTATGACCGATATTGTCCAAACAGGTACCACTGCTCTTTCTTGTGGGTTCATTAATGGCAAGCCTCAAATTGTGACCCAACAGTAGATACTCAAAGTCCCGTTTATCTCTTGTATTTTTCAAAATATTAATGTTAAAGTCACCACACAATATGACTTTTTTATTGCTTAACTGGCAAGTATTACTTAAAATGTCATCGAGTTTATTAAAAAATATGTTAAGGTCAGAATTTGGGACTCTATACACACATATGATAATTATTCTATGTTCAACAAGTTCAATTGCACAACATTCTATCAAACATTCAATTGAGTACTTCTTCACGCTTTCTATAATATTATACTGGAGTCCTTTTCTTACAATGATGCAAGAGCCGCCCTTGCTTTTTTGTCTTGTAAAACTTGTAGCCAAAGCATAATTGGGAAGCATAAAGAGATTTTGCTTTTCTGGCGTCATATTATGCTCGGTCACACAAATAACATCAATAGATATCTGTTGTTGTTTTAGTTCATTAAGATGTACTAAGAATTCATCACTTTTTTTCAAAAGACCCGCTATATTCTGATGAATTATGTACAATCTACTGTATGAGAAAAAACTGGTTCTGGTGAAAATTATTACTTTTGTGCGAGTCCGATACAGCGTCTTTGACACTTGCCTCTTTAACTAGTCTGTCCACATTATGTAAAATGCATTTAACTCCGCTATTTTTTATTTTTCCTGTGCTGTTACTAAACATGTCTAGAGATAGCTCTCGGTTTGAATCCAAGAATAAACAATATTTATGTGCTTCGATGTCATCAAATAGAATATTATTGAATGCCTCTACTCGGTAATTATATAAAGGCGCGCCACATATGTAGTTCGGCGAAACTATGATAATATTTGTAAAAAATATTATGTCTAATTGCTTTCTAATAAATTCAACAAGCGCAGAATAGTTTTTCGAAGAAGTAAAATCAGATTCTCCAATCATAATGACAAGGAAATCATTTTTCGAATACCCTTTGGTTAGTGATTGTACATTCTTCAGCAATATCTCAACTCCTACATTAGGGGTAATATGGTGGCATACCTGGAAACCCTTAAAATAATCGTTGCTTAATATATTTGGTAAAATTCTATTTCTCTTACAACTGGAAAGTATACATAGTTTGTTATTTTTTGATTTTATTTCTTGATTTCCCTTATTAAATTTTTCCTTATCACATTTATTACTGAGCTCCGTTTTTATTATCTTTAAAGGTTTGGTTTCATTTTCTTGTACCTTTGTTAATTTTGCGTTCGTCAACTCCTGTTCCAATTTCTCTATGGTATTATTAAGAAGTAGTATCTCGTCTTGAGCTCGAGTTAAGTCACTCTCTAGCCGCCAAATTTTAGTTTGTATAGCCGCTGCTTTCGGTGATCCGCAGTGGGGTGTTTTTGGACTAGACATAGGCGTTAGAGTCTTCGTTGACTTAAATGGGGTCTTGTTAACTATACTTCTTAATGTGCATATTTCTCTATTCAGTTTCTCAATTTGTCGGAATAGGTCACTCTTTTCAATAATCACATTTTCAAGCTCACAATTTGCGCTTTGAAGTTCTATTTGGAGTTGGTTTATTTGTTGTTTTAATTCGGTCACTATATCTAAATCAGTTGTCAGCTCAAAGCTTTTTGATAATTGGTCATCTATTGACTGAAAAGTATTGTTACTACTATCACCAACCCTATCCAAACAATCACTAGATTTCGATTTAACCAAAGGTAATTCCGAAAAATTCGGTGTTTCGTGGTTTACGGTTGTAATGTAACATGATGACGTCGAAGGTGTAGGAGAAAAATTTTGTTCACACGGCTGTTTTCCTATCTTTGTGAAAGATTTTACATGTTCTATCTTGCTGGTGATTGCTTTTTTTCTTTTTGTAACATTTTTTGAATCTTCTGAAAGTATTGTAGTGTCCTTATTGTAATGCTTCTGGCAAGTAGTGCATGTCCATTTTTGCTTTTTTTCAGCGCTCATTATGCGATATAGCTTTTGTGAGAGTCCTATGCAATCAAAATGAAAATGGTTCTTACATTTTGAGCAGAGTACCATTTCTCCCTTCTCAGATTTATCTTTGCATTTATTACAATAATAAAATCTTGGTGACATCTTGAAAGAGAAGTATACTCAATTTGTAATTAAAAATATTGTCACTTATAATTATCTTCCCTATTTACGGTATGTTTTCATTATTATTTGCACATACAAAAAAAGCAAAGCAAAGCAAAGCAAAAAAAAGCAAAAAAGCAAAAAAAATATTTTGCCTGTATTGTGATTTGAACTCGGTACTTCTCAGTATTAATGCAAAGCTTTTACGGTACAATTGCATCCCACCAATCAGCCATATACAGCAAAGACGAAATTATGAATGGTATACTTAGTTCAAGAAAAGTTAATATGTTGAATCATTGATTCATTCAAGTCTGGGACACTGCACTTTTTTTCGTACTACCACCGTTCTTATTTTTGTTGTTATAATTTTAGCAATAAAATTTCATTTGTTCATTTATACACACTGTTGTTTACGATTTTTGTTATTATATATCTAACACACTTGTTTATATTGTGCAGTTCCTTTCTTTATCACTGTTTACTTTTTATCTACACTGGATCACTTTGTTATATTTACATTGTTTCCGGATTGAATTTACATTAAATAATATTTCCACTTCAAAATGAAATACTTATGAATATTCGGCACCAACACTTAAGCAAAAATATGAACATAAACAATTTTTAAGAAGACTTAATTACGGAGCTGTTTGTTTACTGTTTGCGCGCCCTCTCGTGAGTTTCTGTTAGATATAAAAGAATAAGTTTTTGTATTACAAAATATAAATGTCCCATTGCATACTTTTTAACAAAAAAATTAGGTGCTGATATTAAAAAAAATGGGTGCGTGTACTTATGTAGGCGCGTGAGAAGTTATCCTTCTTTGGCATCGTTTAAAATTAGTTTTTAATTGCATGCAAATATTTATTTACAATAAATTAATAAAAAGTCTGGAAAAGGACACAGTCAATAAAGTTCAGTTTTAATTTGAAAAAATAAATAAATAATCAAAATATTCAATTAAAATCGCTACTGAATATAATTTATTAGAACATATGTGATTTGCACTTGTATGAAACTCAAACACGTATTCCGAATATACAAACTAGAAACATGTGGATAAATATTATAAATATGAATACCTATAACTGTTACTTTATTACAAAAAATAAAGATGTGGTTTTTGGTTCTACTACACCAATGGTCAAGAGATGGCGCTGTAGTCTCCTGAATCGCGCTTTGGTTCCGTTGTTCCAGATTAATAAATACTTTTGATAGGTCTTCAGAATGCAGTCGTTAGCACCCACAAAATAGAGATTCTATTACTATTTTGTTGGTAGATTTTCTTAATGTGCGGTGAACTCAAATTATCAAATTTTTTGTGTTACAGTGATGCGCGCGCATCTTAAAATTTCACTCTCATCATTTTTTCATAACGCGCGTATAACTTCAAAACAGATTTATTACTAGACTAGCAATAGCAACACTCCGAAATTTAAATGATATAAATAGTTCATTCCCTTCATCGTAAGTGATAAATCTACCACTTGCCATACCATCGTTACGAATTTAAAAACTCATTAACAATTAGAAAGTGATATCATATTACCAGACATAATAAAACTTTTACACATCCGCAAAAATACAAATCTAAATATTAGATTCGAGGGACTGCATGTTAAATCTTATCGTTCTGTTTTCGTTACCTTTAATTATTCTGTGAAACCTATATCGATAGCAAAGTATTCAAAGAAATCTACGTTGGACTTCTTCTATGCGCTCCACATGAACATTGTAAAACGGTGACCAAATGGCAGTATTTAATTTGCCGACCATTCTTACAAGAGTTTTATATAAATTAGACTTTCTGGATTCTGGAAGCCTTTAGTACGACGCAAATAAAACCAAGTGATCAGAATTTTATTTGTGATACGTAGGTTAATGTTTACTTCGTGAAACGCTCGCAAAAATAAGTTTCTCTGTCGTAAATAGCAAACTTATTGTTGAGAGCGTTTGTTGCACCCGTTCCGCCTGAAAAACGCTCGCAATCCGACAGTGTGATAAGGCACATAGGTATGCCAAACTTGCAAGTGGCAAATTTTGAGATATTTCAGGAAGCCAGCATGGATCTAGCCAATGGACCTTCTGAAAGAAAAAAATCTCCGTAGATCCATAACTTGAAATCAGGATCTAATGAGAAAATAAATTCTGACTAGATCCATTTTGCCAAGGGACCTACTGAAAATGATTGTTAATAGATGACTTTCCTTGACAGATACGTGAACTTCGTCACGAGAACTTGACTGCATTCGTTGGGGTTTGCGTGGAGAGTGGCGCGGCTTGCATCGTCTCCGCTTACTGCTCGAGAGGATCATTAGCCAGGGTGCTGGCTGACAGAGACCTGCATCTGGACGACATGTTCGTGGCCAGCCTGGTCGCGGATTTGTTGAGGGGGCTGACTTATCTACACGAGTCGCCCCTGGGGTCACATGGCAACTTGACGTCGAGCAATTGCCTGGTAGATAGCAGATGGGTCCTCCAGATATGCGATTACGGCCTGCACAATTTAAAGAGTGAGTATTGTCCGTGCTCCTGCAATATTACCACACTTGTTTATTTCTTCTACATAGGACAATCCTATCCCCAAGCAATATTACGCAAGATTTGTTATTTTCATTCGTCTTATGTTTGATCTGTTTGTTTTATTTGATATGCCTATGTTGTTTGTGCATGGATTTCGATGTCAATATACCTATTTGGCATAATTGAGATATTAGAAAATGTTTGTTGTTGAAACTTCTTTAGGCACGCTTGACGTGGGGGGTAAACTGAGGAATGTGTTACGATTAGTGTCATCGGTGACTCATAGGTAAACAATGAACAATGCCCGTTACAAAATAGATGAATATAGAACTTGGTGGGTGATAACGGACCCAGCGCGGATTGGTGGGTGATAACGGACCCAGTGTGGATTGGTGGGTGATAACGGACCCAGCGCGTATTGGTGGATGATAACGGACCCAGCGCGGATTGGTTGGTGACAATAGACTCAGTGCGGATTGGTGGGTGATAACGTACCCAGCGCGGATTGGTGGGTGACAACGGACCCAGTGCGGATAGGTGGATGATAACGGACCCAGCGCGAATTTCTTGGGTGACAATGGACCCAGTGCGGATTGGTGGGTGATAACGAACCCAGCGCGGATTGGTGGGTGATAACGAACCCAGTACAGATTGGTGGGTGATAACGGACCCAGCGCGGATTGGTGGATGATAATGGACCCAATGCGGATTGGAGGGTGATAACGGACCCAGCGCGTATTGGTGGGTGACAATGGACCCAGCGTGAATTAGTGGGTGATAACGAACCCAGCGCGGATTGGTGGGTGATAACGGACCCAGTGCGGATTGGTAGGTGATAACGGATCTAGCGCGGATTGGTCGATGATAATAGACCCAGTGCGGATTGGAGGGTGATAACGGACCCAGCGCGGATTGGAAGTTTTTTTTTTTGGTATCAACAAATCTTCAGGTTTAGTTTATGATTTTCAGATCATTGGAACTAAAGAAGTTTCACTTCAGTCGTGTAGTCATAAGCACACTCGTTTTTTTTTTTATTTTCTTAAGAGATTAAGAGGTAGGATATTTTCAAAAATAATGAATTTTGAAAACGTCGATCACGTTGCGATGCAAGCAAAGATTTTACGATTATGTGTCCTGCCTATTTAAAAAAGGTTGCAGACCCAAATAAATTACTAATCCAAATTCTATTAAGACGCGCCGCAAATTTAATTTGGTCCACCAAAACCAACCTTTGCAATTCAGTTCATTGTAATCTTAACAAATTTAAAGATTGCCTCCTTATGTAGGACAAGACTCTTTAAATACTTGAACATTTCTAAAAAAAGTTCCGATCGTATATTGGGGAGTTACGGGCGGAGTAATGAAAATCATCCTGGATTTAAAATATTCTTCATTCTGGGAAGTTCAATAATAATTTGTCCTGTCCCGTAAATACTGAGAATCAATTGTGTTGCCTACATATATTTTGTTACGTCTGTTATTTATCAGAAATAATGATAAATGAAAATGAGACGAAGCCTACACAGATTTTGTAAAGTAATGTGTAGGTATGTGACGTTGTATTTATCGGAACAAACCATTCTCTTTACTTGGAAGGAACTATTTTTAATTATCTTTCTCCACGTGTTGTAATTAACGCCGCAGGCGAACTTGTCCACAAAAATACTTATCCTCAGGATTTCGTCCTGAAATAGTCATAACTGAACTCTGGTTCTTCAGGTATTCCATACCCTAACCTAAGTCAGGTTGTTAACATTTTCATAAATATATAGAATTTAAGAAAGTTATATGTTGCATTTCGGAATTTAAACTGTTCTATGTTAAGTGCAGAAAATACCTTGAGGATATTTAAGAAATCATCCTTATTGACAAAGGTGTGCCAAACTCGCGCTATATGAGTGAAGTCGGGGTATGAGGTTGCGTACGGGGCGAAACTCTCGTACGTCTGCTCAAACTCGAGCTATGTTTGCGAGTACTATCGCATTCTTCAGAGCTGCACTCAGATCGTGCGCTTACTGTATGTAGTATTATTATTTTGGATTTTAGGGGCTATACAGTCTTAATGGAACTGTAGTCTTGCTTGGCAATTCCACCTTTGTAATTTCTGGCAAAATTACTCAATGGAAGCATGACATCCGAAATCATTGCTAGTGGTGTTAGTTCAAGCTGTTTGGCCTTAGACCTCAGTACTTGAGAGTGCCAGTTTGTCGTGACAGTAGTATTTACTCTGTATACTTGCTTTCACCTCCTTTATTATGAATTAATGTAGGGGCGATATGTTCAGCAAAGCATTAAGTGTAGCACCTGGCGTTGAAGACATAGCACCGACTGCCATAAGGCATGCTATTATTTGCAAGCTATTCAGCTACTTGATGACTGTCGTTTGAGTGGCTTTTTTCTACCACACTACGCAGGGGTATGTCAACATCAGCCTTACGATGGCGGTGTACATCCACAAGGCAATTTTTGGGTTTAGACCTAATTCCGTCCCAACTAGTCGACAGCATATTCCAAGGGCGATTTTCGCCTTCTGTATCACATTGTTAATGTGATTGTTCCACGTAAATTTTTTAATCGAAAGTAACTGGGTACTTAACCTTCGTGGAAAATGGAACAGGAATTCCTTTTATCGTGGGCGTTGTAAGTTGATCTAAATTTCCCTTCCTAGTATTATTGTTGTTTTGTTAGAATTTACCGATACATTGTTCTCTGTGCACCATTTAACAATGATGCTCAGAGATCTTTGCAGGATAGATTATACGGTAGTTTGACACGGACCAATGACGCAGGCCACATCGTCCGCATATCCCTGTATATCTAATCCTACTGTATGTATGTACATTAACTTTTAAAAGTCCATGCATATTGGACGAAGGTAGTATGGGCACTTAAGCTCTTTAGCGAAAAATCTGCTTTCCTTTTTATTATCTAGTGATTTTCCTACAGGTGGCTGTACAGACGCCGAAGATGCTTTGCGGATGGAGAGACGTATGCTGTGGAGGGCACCAGAGTTCCTCAGGGACCCCAATCTCCCCCCCAGGGGTTCCCAGAAGGGCGATGTGTACTCCTTCGGGATCATACTGTACGAAATATTGGGCAGGAACGGTCCGTGGGGCGACACCAACCTGACTAATGCTGGTATGTAACTTTTTTTGTTGAATATTTTACAATTCAGTTGAATACAAGAAAGACGTGTAGAAGCATTTTTACAGGCCGGCAAGATGAGGATGGTTTGTGTGGCAGTTTATAACTGTATAACTGCTGTACCAGCTATCTTCTCATATGGACTTTATCACCACTTAACGTCAGGTGGGGTAGAGTCATTTGCCTACCGGGCAAAAAACACTTTTTAAATTTTCTTGTATGTTAAATATAATTTCCGTAAAAACTCCATTATTTTCTTAAGTACATGGATTATTTTCAAGTGATACCGCCTTTACTTGAATGATTATGACATTTACATCTGTAATCTTGCACAGATAAGAAAGTGAATAAATATATATAATGAATCAACTGATCTATCAACGCACAGCTCAAACCACTGAACTCACAAGTATTGCACTGGTTTAATGTAAATGATTTAATACTAATTTAGTATTTAACTTAAAATTATTAGTATTACTAATAAAACTAAATGCATAAAATGCGCTTTACCTAATATATATTAGAAACGAACCAGTTGAAATTAAATTAAACAATGAAAAGCTAGATCAAGTTGAATCAACGTTATTGTTAGGTATTAATTAACTAACTTAATTGACTATGGACTTAAAAATGCAGTGGAATCCTCATTTTTCACTTTAAGCTAGAAAACTTAGTTCAGCGGCTTTTGCCATACGAACAATACGACAACTTTCTGATGTAGATACTGCAAGGACTGTATACTTTATTTACTTTCATAGCATTGTATCCTATGGCATTATTCTCTGGGGAACAGCAGCAGATGTCGAAATAATATTTATTTTGCAAAACTTGCTGTAAGAGCTATTTATCAACTAAGCTCAAGACAATCTCTCAGAGAAAAATTTAAAGAAATCTGAATTATGACCTGGCTTCGCAATGTTTCTACAATTATATACTTTTTGTTCGAAACAATATTAACTTTTATTTCAAACACAGTGACGTACTTGCTTTTAATTCCAGCAATAAAAACAAACTTAAGTTAACACTGTACAAATGCCTTTTCTTATAGATAGATCCGACAAATGACTCCGCCCCACCTGATGTTAAGTGACGATGAAGTGAAGACGGTACAGCAGTTCTACCTGCCACACCAACCATCCTCATCTTGCCGGCCTGCATGTTGCTTCTTCACTTAAAGGATAATTAAATAGATAGATATTAACATAAAGTTCATAGATCATTTATGGATCAAGGCATACATTTCATTTACGAGTATATAATAAGATCCATAGTAATATTCTTGATTTGCTTCTAAATGAATTTAAAACACACATTACAAATTACTTGCTTATGAAAGGATATTGTACTGTTAAACAATATTTGAATAATAATACCGCCCGGTCGTAATTGTTACCCTCAGGTAATTTTAAAAGTTATATTAAAGCTGTCCCTTCAAGAGGAATATTGAACAGAACTTTGCACTTAATGTCTTTTATATACTCTCATGTATTTTTTAAAAATTGTTAACGGATATTTCGTTGCTTTTGTATTTATTTATTGTTATCTATTTAACACTATGTGATGGATTTTTAAATAAAACTAGTTTTCACGGGTTAATGCACGAAACTTTATTTGTTTATTAATAATAATGCAGACCTGAAAAGGCTGCGAAACGTCAATAAATAAATAAAGTTTCGTGCATTAACCCGTTAAAACTAGTTATATTTAATGAGTGATGTGCGTGAAAACTTAGGAAACAAAGATGGAATTTTAATTCTATACATGTTTATAAGTTTGATATCAACTTTCAATTTGATGACTCTGTATGAAATAACACAGGGAGATAAAAAGAGCCCTTGCTGAGTTTCTTTCCGGTTCTTCTCAGTACAAGGTCTCCCGCCGTAGATTTGCGAACCGATGGCGTAGTTTTCGACTTTCACATGTGCTTGTAAAAGCCTAAATTGAATAAATGGATATTGAATTAAAACGGATTGCTCCGAGATTTGACACACATACATTTTATTAAGATGTAGGCATGCGCTATGAAAAGATTTTCCAAAACTCACCCCCACCGACCACAACCACAAGACGCCGCCACCGGCATATTTCTTGTAGTTTTTATACATTTTATATGGACTCGCTACACACGGTACGCTGGTGGCCGCCACACGCTACAAATCGTCGTTGCTCGCTTCTTGTGGCCCGCACCGGCCACTTCATGCGCCGATACAAAACGCCGCCACACGTCACTCGCGCGATTCCCCACCCCTCTCTCCCTTACTTTAGTCGACCGCTGTCGCACGCTTCAGCCACTTTAGTAGCTGCTTCTAGCTTCTCGGGGCGGCGTTTGGTACTGTGGAGTGTGACTCGTTTGCGGCGACACTAAGGCGCTTTGCAGACGACGGGGCGGAGCGGGCCGGTCAATTTCGTCGCGAACGATAGCACAAAGTGAATCCTATATTACAAACGCACACAGAGGGCAAAAAGACCGCAGGTGCCCGGCGGGCACTGGTGGCGCGGCATGTCCGCGACTACCCGCCGTGGATCATACAAACCAGTTTATATGCTGTAACGCAGACGGCGGCGCGGGGCGGTTAGCTCAGTCCGCGCCACGCGCTTTTTAGTGATGGACTATTCACTAGAACGAACGTCCTGAACTGACCGCCTCTGCCCATCGTGTGCTTTGTGTACGCGCCGCGGGCAGCCGCAGACATCGACGGGCAGACGCGGTTTTTATTGCTTCGCGGACAAAATGCCCGCCCCGCCCCGTCGTCTGCAAAACGCCTAAAGTGGTAAAACGTAAAATGAGGGTTCAAAGTTTGTATGGGAAATCAATATTCCCACGAAGACGAAGTCGCTGGCAAACACTATTTTCAAGATAATTACCTTAAATAACGCCATTACTTTCTAACATTTATTTATTGGGACTACTAAAAGAACCCCACTTAATACATTCATAACTATAAAATTAAGTAAGAAAATGGATTATTTTCAAGTCATACCGCCTTGCCTTGAATTATTATGATAAACGTTAATTGTACAGGTTGGATGATATAAATAAAAATAAATGATACTAATCTAATACATAAAATTCTCGTGTCACACTGTGCGCAATTGAAGTACTCCGAAACGGCTCGACCGATTTTCGTGAAATTTTATATGCATTTTCAGTGGGTCTGAGAATCGGACAACATTTATATTTTTCTTCCTCCTAAATGTTAAGGGTGGTCTACCCTTAATTTTTGTTTTGACAACTTTTATTGATACATAATACAAAAATACATACAAGCCTTTCTCCCACCAACCCCTATTTTTTTGTGACGAACGAAGTTTGCTGGGACAGATAGTTGTATATAAAATAAGCTACTTCCATCGCTTGGGATTAGAGGTGCATTGAAATTCATGTCTATTTATTGTCACAACGTTTTTGTGCGTGTCGATAATCTGATAAAAGTACGAAAAATGACGCTGTCGGAAGCAACACAAAAGTGTGGGAAGTTTGCAAATCCAATATCGATAAATTGGAATCGGTTTTCAAGATTAAGGCGCGGGAGAGAGCGAGGCGTGAGGGTCAAATGAAATGATCTGACAATAAAATCCACGCTTAAGTGGTCTTCGCTTTCAACGGCCGATCGTATGAATTTGAGTATTAGCGACCCGTTAGATAATCTTTACTACATATTGTACTTGGGCGACTGAGCCATGTTAGGAGGAGCACGATGGCGCGGGTAGTAGGCGCGCTCGGCTGCGATCTTTGAAGTTAAGCAACTTTCGCAGTGGTCGGTCATTGGATGGGTGACCAAAAATCTTCTATCTCGAGTTCTTCTGTGCTTCGGAAGGCACGTTAAGCCGTAGGTCCCGGCTGCATCTGCAGTCGTTAGTACCCGCCAATCCGCACTGGGCCCGCGTGGCGGGCCTGTTATTATTTTTATTTGTTTCCCTTTTATTAAGACTTTATAATTATATTTTAAATTTTTGTACTAAAAATGGTAAACTGTGGAGCTTGTGGAAGTTTTTTGGCGCCGGGTAATGCTGTTGTTTGCTGTGCTCACCCAATAAAATATCATAAGGTCTGCCTTGCCATCTATTAATATCAAAGAAAAAACTTGAATTAATATATCTATATATATAAAAATGAAACCCGTTTTCCGTTGTCACGACATAACATGAAAACGGCTTGACCGATTTGGCTGATTTTTTTTTGTAGTTTTCTAATACTCTGTACAAGGTTCTTACGGAAAAAAATATAAAGAAAATCTCTCAGAAAGATTGAAAAATATAACGTAACGAATGTCAACGTCATTCAATTTAAAACAAAAAATCTGTGGTAATCTGTGACACCACGTCGATAACCGCGCTGACAAATGTCAACGTCATAATTTAAAACAAAAAAATCTGTGGTAATCTGTGACAGGAACAAACACTTATTAGCAAACAAAAAACTTCTTAGTCTTTAAAACAAAACGAACTTTATCAAAAACTTAATAAAATTATTGTTAGCGCGGTTATGGACTAGCTGACCCGGCGAACTTCGTACCGTATAGTTTATCAAAAAGCATTAGAATAGAGAGAAGCAGTGAAGGGTATAGAGGCTATTAGTTGCTTTCTAGAGCGCGCGTGGTGTTGAGCTCAGTGTTTACTTCAAAATGCAAAGTTGTTCAATAGCGATTTGTAAAAATATGAGTGAAATTGAACCCTATGGAATAAACACTATTATGAAAATATATATGTTGTTTTTTATTTAATAAAAAATAGTAAAGTCCTCAGGTATGGCGAGACCAGGGAAATAAGGATTCATTTTTATATGGAGGATATTATAGATTCCAGTTCAAATTGAATAGGTACTCATACATAAGATAGGTCAGCTATACAAAATAAAGTAGTGCATCAAATCTACGCTAAGGCGGTACGAAGTTCGCCGGGTCAGCTAGTATAAAATATATAAAAGAAAGAAAAAAATACTGCATAAATAAAATAAATAAATAATTATAATTGCATAAGTTGATAATTAATGC